AAACACAGTTTGAAAGAGACAGAAGTGGGGGAATGGCCTGGGTGATGGTTCTCAGCTGGCGGGAGAAGGAAGAAGCTGCCACCACCCCGTCCCCATGTCCTTGCACAGCCTCAGACTCACCCCCACGCCCCAGCCCTTGAGACTTCTCAGTATATGTGCTGGAGTGTCTCTGGGCACATGGGTGCAGCCAAATCTCCTCTCACCTGCCCCATCTGCAGCTTACGGATGGCAGTGTTGGCACGCCGCTGCAGCATCTTCAGTGTGGCCAGCAGCTCCCGCCGCTGCCACTGGGGCATCACAGAAGTGTCCACAGCCTATGGCCAGAAGCAGTGCATCACCCCTGCCCTTCCCTGAGCCATAGTCTCTGAGGTAGGGACCAGCAGGGCCCTGTAGACAAACATCTGGGCCAGCTGGAGCCCAACCCGATTGGAGTGCTAGGGAGAGTCTAGAGGGGTCCAGGGAGGAATAGGGGAGGGAATAGGGCCAGGAGAGGGTGGGGAACAGCTCCACAGTAGGCGTGGCCCTCACTTCAATGAGTCGTCCTATGTCCTTGGACAGCCTCAGTGCTTCTGCCACATCCCGGCTCCCCTGACTCAGTCGCTCAGTGGCTGCTTTCACTTCCTGGGCCAGGTTCTGGCCTAGCTCTCGGGCCTGCAGGGAGGGGACAGGAGGGTCAGGGCCGCCAGGCTTACATTCATCTCCCCAGGACAAGGCCTCTCAACTCATTACTGGTCAGGGACAAATAAGATATAACAATCAAGACCAGTCAAGACACCAGCACCAAATAAAACACATGCCAGCTGCCAACAGCTGCTATGGCCACATTGGTGTGCAAGTATTAATACTGGCTCTGCTGCTGGGCACCCCTGAGCCCGAGCATGTCACCTGCGTGTGTCCCATGCACCCACTCAACCCAGAAGTCCCAGGCCTACTGGCATGCTGACCTGCTGGGCCTGCTCCCCAGTGATGGCCAGCAGGCGGGTAGTGCCCTTGGAAAGCTGGCGGTCCCCGATGATAACCAGGTCCCCTACAGCCCCTGTACGTAACAGGTGCCTGTGGGAGGAAGGAGGGAACAGAATGTCAGGGGGCACGACAGGAGACAAGGGAGAAGCCAGAGTGCATCTCCCATTAAGGGCTGATGGCTCCAAAGACCAAGTGAAGGGCGAGGATCTGGGGCCCCTGGGCCAGGCAGCACAAAGGAGTGACTCACGTCCCACAGCATAGCTCCACAGAGGTCTGCAGTGCGGCTTGGGAGGCTGGGTCCAATGCATGGGCCACGGGTACCCCCACTGACACCACCCGTACAGGGTCTGGGTAAACCTGAGGTCAAGAGGGGACAGGCCCGTTAACTGCCAAAGGAGAAGGATAAAGCCTCCAGGTATGCCTGAAGGAGGCCCCCGATCTCCACCAAAAGGGCTTCCCCAACTCACTTCATCCAGACAGCGCAGGCCAGGGACCTGGGCAGTGAGTGCCAGGGGCACCTCCTCCATGTACACAGGCTTATCCTGCTGCACGGCCTCCTGCACAGTGTTCTCCACTGCCCGGAGCTGCTCTGGGGTCAATGTGGTCTGGAGGGGTGGGGAGGAAATGGAAAGACCAACATGCAGTCAGCCCCACACCTGTAACTGATGCACTGAAACATGGTCAGTGTTCACTGAGCTATCCCCAGGTTCTAGAATAGTGGCTAGCACATGATAGGTGCTCAATAAACACTAGCTGAGCAGACAATTCTTTTCCTTAGAAAGCTATCTGGGAGTTTGGGCTTACTGGAAGCTCCAGGCCTTTCACTAGGCACCAAAAGTTGAAGAAATAGAAAAAGGAGGCTGTACCCACATGGAGCTTACAAGGGGCAGCCCAGTGGAAGAGAGAACTACAGGATGGGGGGATGCAGGGGCAGGGAATAAGCAGGTGGGATGGGGATTAGCCAGCAAGTACTTCCTGGAGAAAGGATTTGAGCCAGGTGTGTAAGAAGGGCAGGGAGACAGGGTGGCAGCAGAGGGAGAGGGCAGCCCAGTTTGAGCAAGAATGTCTCGGGTGACAGTAGAAACAAGGAAGGAGTGGCTGGAGGTGAAGGGAGGGCCCCTGCTGGAGGCCCTTCAGGATCCCACATCAGAGCTGGGTGAGGCCCTAGCTACTCTGTAGCCTGACTCCTCACTGGTGCACGAGGAGCCCAAGGGGAAAGGACTTGCCCAGGGTCCCATAGTGATTGGGTGGCTGTGCTGGGCCTAGAGCCCAGGCCTCTAAGAGCAACCCGCTCACAGCAGGCTGTCTCTCTTTAAGCCTGTCACCTCACATGAAGCCTGTCTTTCTGTGCCGGGCTTACCTGGGTGGTCACATCCAAGCGCAGCTGCTCAGGATTGAGATGGGAGCCCTGCTGCTCTGTGCCAGGGCCCAGGGTCTGCCGCAGTGCCCAGTTCAGCAGGTGGGTGGCCGTGTGCTTCGCCATGCAGGCTAGACGCCAGGCCTGAAATACTTTTGTCACCTAGGGTCCTGGGTGAGGGCAGGGAGTGGGGAGAGTGAAGGGCTGCAGGGTATTGGGAACAGTTAGGGAGGATCCTTACCTTATCCACATGCAGCTGTACCTGGTCCCCGATCTGTAGGCACTCAGGGGCTACTGCCTCATGCAGGATGAAACCCCCACAGACCTGGGCCCGGGCTACTGGGAACAGCACGTCCTGGGGGAGGGTAGGGGTCAAGGTGCCTGTAGCCTTTCCCTCCCCTTGGCTCCCACCCAGGCTTGGGTCTGCCACCCACAGAAATCAGCCTGGGCTGTGGTGGAGACTCACCTCTTGCCCTACCCGCACCAGGTAGCCACGGTCTGAAGCCTGGCCCCCCTGTTCTGCGTAGAAGTTGGTCCTGTCCAAGAGGAGGCCACAACGCTGGCCTTTCCCCACAGAGGCCACTGCTGTCCCGTCCTCTGTATACAGTTGCAACACCTGGGCCTCACAGGTGCCGAACTCTGCCAGGGAACAGAATGGTTATTAGTGGTGGGCAGGGGCTGGGGACGTGAAGGTGGGTCTGTGCCTTGGGGCTAACAGGCACCCCGCAGGGCACTTCCAGCTGGGGGCCACAGAGACCCCTGTGGCCATCCTGGGGAATACATAGGGCCAGCAGCAACCATCTTGGACATTCTTCTTAGTCATGGTCAGGCAAGCTTGTGGTGGCAGACCTCGGTCCAGGCTCTCACCATAACTTCCGTTGGGTTGCAGGGAGTAGTTGTACTTGGGGCTGCTGTCAGTTGGGGGCACTCCTTGGCGCTGCAGCTCCCCCAGTGCATGGACATCAAGCCACAATCCCTGCTTCTGAACTGGCTCAGCCTGCCGTGCCTGGTGCTGCAGGATGGGCATGGAAGAAGTACATGGGGAATGAAAGTGGGACTTCAGCCTCGCAGGGCCCTGTCCCTGCCACACAGCTGTGGACTCTGCAGCCCTTCTGGAATAAGAATTCAGGGCTTGGCTGCCTGCTAGAGCCCCTGGGCTGGTTGGTGAACCATCCATCATGTGGGATCCTCGGGATTAGGCCTTCTTGCCCACCGCTGCCCCTGGAAGGCCCCTCTCCAGGAAGCTGTGCTGGCTTCTGCTCTTGTGTTTAGCCCATTGGCTAGTGTTGCTTTCTACAAGTTGTGGCCTGAGGTTTTAGAAACCTCCCAGGTGAGGGGACAGATCCTATCTCAGACTCTTGATTTCTCTCAATATCCACAGCTCTTCCCCCAGGAGCTCAGGGCTGGGGAAGGGGTGTCCCAACAGAACCAGCATGGGGGTGCCACAGCTTGTACCTGGGCCGCCTCCTGGGCCAACCGCTCCAGTCCAGTGGAGTCCAGCTGGACCCCTTTCTCCTCCAGCATCAGCTCTACCATGTCCAAGGGGAGCCCCAGGTCTCCAGACAGTGACAAGGACCAGGCCACTTCAGCTTTAAGAAAGGGAGACAAAGAGTGTTGACAAGGGGAGGGATTAGACAAAGAAGGGGAGAAAAATAAGGTCCAGGGCCCTTCTAACCACGCAGAAGCCACCAGATGCCAAACACAAATACCCCCTCCATACTGGGTAGCCTCAGGAGAGGGGTCACATTCAGGCTTCATGCCTCAAGGCCAGAGCTGGGGGTAGTCCAGGGTACTCCCTGGGCACAGGTCATTTCAAGAGAGGAGGGAAGCTCAGTCTATGCATGAAGCCAACCTAGGAAAGCAGGAGGCAGGGCTAGCTGGGCAGTGTGGACATAGGGAGAGGCAGGGTGGTGTTCCTGCTGCAGAGGGGTCTGGG